TCCATTTGGTGCTTGGCTGAGTCCTTTATCTCTTCATTTGATGTTTTAGGGTTTCAGGATTGTTGTATTCTCTGTTCTGCTTAGTTTTTCGGATCTTTGCTGTGGTGGGACAGCGTGGTGCTTCTGCCTAGAACGCCATTTTGCCAGAACTCTGAGAGGCAATATACTCTTGACTGTGGTTTTCTTTACCCTTGGACTTATAATTAGTCATCAAGCTCTGATGATTCTGTTTCCCAAGTATCTCAAGATGCTGGTCTCCTCTTTTTTCACCATGCCAATGACCTAGTTTGGGCCTTCAAATTCTGGCTTGAACTTTGGAATTCTCCTAACCCTGTCATACCCTGAAGATTGCTGTCAGAGTGATCCTTTTAACATTTGAACATGTAATCTCACTACTCCTAAACCCTATGGGGTGAAATCTAAACTCTCCTGCAAGACCTACGAAGCTCTTCATGACTGGAGACTCTCCCTGTTCAGTTTTGTCTCTGAGCATCGCTCCTCCACCTTCTCGCCCCCACCCCTCATGCGTTACACTCCCACAGTACTAAGCTATTTGTAGCATGTCATGCTCACTCATGTGCCTTTGTACATACTGTGCCTTCAGCCAGAAGTGGCCTCTTTCCTCTTGACAAACTCCCCTCTCCTTCCCATCATTCTCACCTCCTCCTCTAAGATTCTGCTCATACACTTTCTCTTCTGGGAGATTTTACTGAGCCTCTTTCCTATTGTTGTTGTGTGCTGTGGAATTGATTTCAACTCATAGCAACCCTACAGAACAGAGTAGAACTGCTCCATAGGGTTTCCTAGGCTGTAATCTTTATGGGAGCGCTGTAATCTTTATGGGAGCATTGCCAGGTCTTTTCTCCCGTGGAGCAGAGTGGCTGGTGGGTTAGAATGGCCAACCTTTTTGCTTAGCAGCGGAGTGCTTAACCATTGCGCCAACAGGCTTCATGAACTTTCCTAAGTTCCTGTCCTATTTTGTAAATAACTCCAGTTTAGCATATAGCATTTTCTACCGTAATTGTTTGTAAGTACAGCTACCTTCCAATTTAAATGTGAACATCTTGAGGTCAGAGACCCGTGTTTTCACTTTTGTATTCCAGCACCTACCCAAATACCTGGAATGGAAAACCAAAAACCAAACCCATTGTGGTCAGGTTGATTCCAACTCATAACGACCCTGGAACAGTGTTTTGTAAAATATGTCCCAGAATAATCTGCCTTGGTATCCTTTCAGTTAAAATATGGATTCCTAAGCCTAGTCCCAAACCTACTGATCCAAATCTCTATGGATGAGGCCTGAGAATATGCATTTGAAACAGTCCACTAGCCTGGCATATAGTTGACTCATGGAAAAATATTTCCTAGCACTATGAGTGATAAATACTAAGACTTAATACATATAGTTTCTTTCCCTTTCCCCTGAGGCACAGAGAGGGTATGACTTTCATGAGGACATGGAGGCAGAGGCCCCTGAATCAAAGTTTTCTGCTTCCTAGTCCAGACTTACTACACGACCTGTCAGTGAGGGCAACTCTCTTCTCAGCCAGGACAGCCACTACCACAGCCTGGTCCTTTGCATGCCCCCCTGAGGGGAAGTGTCTGGTAGTCAGCGTCCTTGAGAATTACCGTGGGACCCAACCAAATGGTTGCTCAGATCCTTTTCCAGTATGGAGGCTCGCGCTCTAGGTTGGTTTCATCCATTCAACGGAGAAAGAGAAATTGAAACTGGGAAGTTCAGTTAACCGCTTTGAGTCAACATTTCAAGCCCAACGCTGGAACTTAGAGATAATCCCCAGGACAGACTTTTGGACATTACTCTCAGCTTTTGTGCCTGCCTACACCTTTTTGTAGGTACAAAAGCCAAGAGTAATGTCCAAAAGTTATATATTATAATATATACCATTATACTATAAACCTGTTGCCGTCGAGTTGCTTCCAACTCATAGAGACCCTATAGGACAGAACAGAACTGCTCCATAGGGTTTCCAAGGAGCGGCTGGTGGATTCAAACTGCTGACCTTTTGGTTAGCAGCTATAGCGCACTGTAGCTCTTAACCACTATGCCACCAGGCCTCCATTATAATACATTATAATAATATGTTAATATCAATACATGGATATATTAATTGTATAGAATATATTAATTGTGTAATTTTCTAAGTGATATATGTTTGGGAAGGGTTAATTCTTCGGGGGCAAAAGGTTTAATGGGAGAGGGTACTATAAAGAATATGAGCACACAGCTTAGGGGCAAAGGACCTCTTTGGGGAAACAAAAATATTTCCCCTTTGGCTTAAAAAGATGAAGAAAACACTACAGATGTGCCACAACAGACAGCTTGAAGCTTTCTAATCTAAGAAAAATCCACAGGCTTTAGTGTAAATACAGTTTGTAGCACAAAGAGGTTAGTTGAGAAATTCTCTTTCCACAGAGGAAAGGAAGAGCCTGGATCTCCAGTTGGTGAGTGTTGAAAATTGCCAAATGCTCCTTGCTAAGCCTATATAGATGGGCTCTGGCCAGCTAGCTTTTATATACTGCTCTCTGCTGGCCAACCCCAGAGAACTTTTTTTCTTTGACTTTTCTTTCATAAAATGAGAAGGGTTAGGACCATGGCTGGAGTCCCTGGGTGCAGCGAATGGTTAAGCGCTGGACCACTAACTAAAAGGTTGGCAGTTCAAACCCACCCAAAGGCGACCTCTAAGACAGGCCTGGTGATCTGCTTCCAAAAGG